TTGACATAATCTATTTTTCTTCAAAAGTATAAAATTTCAGAAATAAGTCACGTTTGCCATTTACCTTAAAGAGAATATATGATGAAACATTTGCACTATAATTTAATAGTAACCATGGTTATTCGTTCTAATAACAGACAAATTGTATTGATAAATGTTATATATTAATTGCTCAGTAGTATACACTTGTTAAGATTGAAGTAATTTCTTTTACGAATTCATACTAAATAATAAAATGTTAAAAACTAATAAACTACGATGTACTATTGTATTACTATTATTAGATCTATCTTTAAACTAGATCTTGAAGTATTCATGATATAAACAGATACTTAACAGTCAATTATTTGATATACCTGAATGTAACTATCAAGCTGTGTAGTTCTTTTCTTTACATATTTCGAATAAGCTTTTGTTTCACACATAGAAACATTATGTAATAAAACAATTGATTACAAATTCCATATATATATATATATATATATATATATATATATATATATATATATATATATATATCAGTAGTAGTAAGTAAACTATAGTAAACAATATGACCAACAATAAAAATCTATCATATGATGTAAGTTTAAGGAAGATGACTTAAAAATGATATCACTGCTGGAATTTATTTACATTCTTGTTTTATGAATAAATGGAAAAAACAGTAGAAACTAACCAGGGAAATAATTTATTTCGACATGAATGATTGTCTAATGTAAACGTTTCCCTTTCAATATTTTTAAAAAAAATTTCAATAGTTGAGATCATGAGTCAATTGAAGCTAGATCATTATGAAAAACCTGAAAGAATTGGACAGTTGTTTCGTCCTATTCTGGAACTTCTCAACAGTGTGTATCCACGGTCCCACCTCGCGAGATTCAAACTCAGGACCTGTCAGTTTCGCGTGCGAGCATTTAATCTCTATACCAATGAGTCAGCATCCAACAGTCTTAATGTTTAACTTCAACTAATCCACTATTTTCTTCAACTAACTCATGATCTCAACTATTTAAATTACTATAATCTTCACAAAAACCCCTTTTTGATATTTCTTAAAATATTTCAAATGTTCTAAGAAAATCTAAAATGAAATTAATAAATTTCATTTAAACTGTTTACTGACTAAAAGAATGATTGTCCATGGATTGAAATAGTTATAAGTTAATACATAAATAATATTTCCCTCCTACTAAACTATATTCAGTTTTATTGTTTACAGTTTGCTCACCTTTTATTTAGATCTCTTTTTCTTCTTCTTTCGTCTAATATATGACCATTAACAGTTAAAAAGAATTTTGTTAGGTTTAAAGAACATACCGTATTTATATTTTTTTATTATAGTAAATGGTTGTATAATGAAAGTATCTGATTGTTGTTCTCTCGAAACGTTTGTCACCATTTAAATTAGTTCAATATTGATTGAAGTTAGACATTAACGTCGTTGGATGCTGGCCGGCTCAGTGATATGAAGGTTGTGTTCGCGCGCAAGATCGATAGGTCCTGAGTTCGAATTTCACAAGGTGGGATCGCGGATGTGCACTGCTGAGAAGTTCCATATTAAGAGAAAATGGCCGTGTAGCGCTTCCAGGTTTTCCATGGTGGTTTAACTTTAATTAGCTAATGAACTCAACTAATAAATTATTAATAAACCATAAGAAAAGTCTGTTAACCAGTAAACACGTTATTGAATTATTTGAAAAGTAATTCATGATCAGTATATAGTAAATCAGTAGTCATGAAACCAAATTTTGTTCTGCTACGTTTCTTTGGAGTATGGATTTGTTTTCATTTGTAAAATATTAGAAAGTCGATCAACTACTTTCATAATCAGAAAACAATGTAATATGTTGTTTTAAGAATATATTTATTACAGAAATCAAAAGATCATAATTTAATGTTTCAACCTGGAATTAGGCTTCCAACTATAAATATTATTCATTATATTTAAATAAACCTTAGATATAAATAGAGAATAGTCAACGAGTGGGAGAATAAAAATCCCTACATCAATATTTTATTGATAGTACTGTTAATCTACATTTCGTTTTTGGATTAATACAAACAACATCCTCATCTTTTACTGTTTGTTTGAATCTTCCCATTTATGTTTAGCACATCGATCGATCGAACTCCTATGGGTATATGTACATCCTGTGTAGATTGCCTAGATATTGTCTTAATTCACAAGCACTATAAGCAAAGATGAATGATGGCTAACAGTGAAATCCAGAACGCACATTTAGTCCTATTTAAATTCGTCAGCTGGGTGTATCTGCATCTCAGAGTTGATGTTCACTCTAGGACTCGAACCCAGTAGGATTCGTTCCAATCTCCATCATGTTATCCACATAGCTACTGAGTCCTGATAGCCACTAGCATACATAATGATGTGGATTTTAAATTCATCTTCATCTCTGCATTTTTCTTCTGCTTACAAATACTGATAGAAAAAGATATTATTCTAAATTGATATGGAATACGGGAAAAAAATAAATCATCAGTAGATTGTTATACAGCTGTTTTATTGTCATCTTATCTATAGTACTCAGTCACATAACGATGATTGCATCTAATGAAATTTGGTTTATTAACCAATTATTCCAGATTTATTATTAATTGTACGAATAATGTTATACTCTATGTATATCAAGCTTTTATTTCATTTGATCACTAATATATTGTATACTTTAAACATATTCATATCTTCATTACAGAAACTTATTGATAGAAACCAATAGTAATCAAGATGTTGTTCTTTTTTCTTGTTCACGGGTAAAATACATCTATACATCTATTCTTGCATTGTTCCGTTGTACTATTTAAACTCGGATTAATTTTAATTTGGTTATTTATTCTCTGAAGAAGTGACTTACACTAAGTCACGAAACGTCAGAAAATCCAATTTTCTACTCATTGGAATATTACAAATATATTATTTTTAATTATAACAATGAACCCAATGCTCAATTTATTCGAAATTATCAAATCAAACCTTGATAATGACACCTACATCTATAAAATACTTTGATAGAATGATACCTAAAAATTGAAGAAAAATTAGACAATAGAATAACTTATATTCACTAAACATTCTGTTTTATTTACTTTCTTATTGAATCATTATTGTAATTATTATGTAATTGATTGTTATAATTGTGAATAAGCTAACAATATTTATCATTTTCCATCTACATAATTTAATGTAGATTTATTTAATTTGATTATTGTTAACATTAAATGAAGATTTACTAAGTATAACTTTGTCTTCATTTCAATCTAGTGGTCTACGACTAGCATGTTCAACTCAAGAATTCATTATTTACTGTTGGTAAATTGTTCCCAATTAATTAAAAATTAAAATGAATTTACTAGATGATTTGCTCATTTGTCATTTTAATAATTAAATATAATTTGAAATTCAATTATAATAGTTACTTAAATAACGTTTAAATTAGTTTTAATGACAATACAAATGAGCAGATTTAAATACATAAATAATATTGACAAGATCATTGATCATTTTGTTTACATTTTCATCAATTTAAGAAAATATGTATTTCAATTCACTTGGTGTTGTTTACTTGTATCTTCTCATTGTTGTTTAGGACTGCAATTGATCAACCTCTTGTTGGTATATGTGTGGCTTATGCGGATTCCCTCGATATCGCTTTAATTCACAAGCCTCATAAGCAAAAATAGATAGTGGCTAACAGTGGAATTTAGGACCCGTGTTTCGTCCTACTTGGCATTTGTCAGTTGGATGTACCTACATCCTAATTGCAGTCCTAAACAACAATGGAAAGACACAGTCAAAAAACATTAAGCGAGTTCAAACTTTACTCTATTGCATATGCTAGTGACTATTAGGTCTAAGTTGCTAAGTGGATAACGTTATGGCGCTTGAAGTGAATAGTACTGGGTTCGAGTCCTGGAGTGAACATCATAACTATGACGCAGACACATCCAGCTGACGAGTCCCAGATAGTATTAAACGCGTTTTCTGGATTCCACTGTTATCCTTTATCCATCTTTGCCTATAAAATATGTACATCTACTATACAGTCGATAAAAAAGTGATTGAATTCATTAGTTTTGTAAAATATTTAACATAATTATTTAGAGCTAATAAATAAAAATTTGTGAGAAGCGAGTTGGATAGAATAAGATTATATTGGTCACTGTAGGAAATTCAGTAAATGACAATAATTATTAGGTAAAACGTTGACCTTATTGTACATTATTATGAATTGTGTTTCATCATTATTTAAACAACTTAATGCTAGAACATCGGTGTGCTATTTTAAATCGTCATTATTGTAAGATAATTTAAATATTTTACCGTAACAAAAAAAAATAGAATACACAAAACATTGTCATAACCACTCTGGATAATAAATTACTATTACTATGGTGAGTTAAAAGGGTGAGAACAAATTGTTTTTGAACTCATAGAGAGGGTTTCAGTTTCCGTATAGCCAAGGCTTCATCAATAAGTTTTAGAATATGCCCTTCAAAGCTTTTATACAAAACAATATGGGCTGACTTGAAATCAACCTTATGACTGATCTCAACCAAATATTCCGCAATGAAGGAACATATTTGTCTATCCTTTGATTTCATTTGACCATTGAAATCCATTTGTTTTTGCCACCATTTATGTATGCATTCGGTTACCCTTACTTGCAGCTCACAACTACTCCTCCCTATGTACGTGTTTCCGTACATACATGTTAATTGATAAACGCAATGGGATGTGACAAACTTTTGATTGAACCGCATACTTAAGCATTGCCTGTATTAACAGAAATGTCTATAGTTTGGCATATCAACTTCTAACCAACGTTTATTTCATCGAAATAACCTCATTCTATATGATAAGTATACTGTGGTTATTAAAGACTGTGTCATCCCAAAGATTTGCTTTTCTATTATGATTGGTAAATGAATGTAAGTTCTGATTGGTTTATTCAGTTATTCAAAATGAAAAAAAACAAGAATCTAAACAGTAATTTTTACGTTAAAAACTTGTAGGAATCTTTTAGAAAGTATCATATAATAATTATTCAAAGCAAATGTAATTAAAATTAAGGATAATACTTCAGTAAAACATGAATGATAGTTCACAGTATGATGAAATGTTCATAAACCAGACAATGGGTGTAGAGATTGAATCATCCAGTACAGTTATGACCCTGATTGTTGCTATCATTTACCCACTTATAATTATATTTAGCACAGTTGGTAACAGTATTGTTATATTAACTGTAACACGTAGTAGTGCAATGCGAACAATAACCAATTTATTTATATCCAATTTAGCAGCATCTGATTTATTAATGAGTTTTGTAGCAGCACCCGTAACACCAATTGTATTTCATATGAAAAATTGGAAATTACCTACATTTCTTTGTAAATTATTACCTGTTACAATGGGTGTTAGTGTTTATGTTTCAACTCTTACTTCAACCGCTATAGCTGCTGACCGGTATTTAGTTATTGTACATCCATTTAGAACACGTATGTCACATAGTATATGTGGACTTATCATAGCTGGTGTATGGCTTATTTCTGTTCTCATATCATTACCATTGGGAATTTATACAAAAATTGGAATTGATCCAAGAAATAATGAACCATCCTGTATGGAATCATGGCCACATCCATTATCTAGACCAGTAAGTGAAAAATATTGAAATTTTCTTCATTTATTATATTTTCCTGTAAATTTGATTGATTTAGTGTAGTGGATAAAAAATATGAATAAAATGTTCATGTATATTTATGTACCAAAATTGTGTATATTAGGTATCCAAATCAATAATTTCATTTTTCCCGTAACATACATTTTCTATAGTAACGTGGAACCATATATACTACTATTTAATCAGACAACTCATTATGAAAATAACCCAATAAATCGAATTATATTACCTATTTATGTAAGAAAATCAAACCATTTGAAATGTTGACTGAATTCATTTGTATTCATGTTTTTTTTTAACACAGTATAAAGTACACTGAACTATACACTGTGAAAATTTCTGAACATATAATTTATAGTAATTTCAATGGTTAAGATCATGAGTCAGTTGAAGCTAGACCACCATGGAAAACCTGGACGGCCGTTTCGTCCTATTGTGTGCGCATCCACGACCTCGCCCCCTACGAGATTCAAACCCAGGACCTACTGGTTTCGCGCGCGAGCACTTAACCATTTATATTTGCAATATGTAGTAAACTGTAGATCATACAGGTATTTAAGTGAATACTTTAGTCTAATAATTTCACAGTGGTAAATTATTTTAGTGTGTGCATATTTTGTTCAATCAGACTAAATCTGTATTCACAAGTTCAAGTTAATTATTTATTGACTATCTTCATTTTTATAAAACCAACTGCAAAATGTTCAGAATGATTACTACCAAATATTCACTATCACAATTACATATCTTTCTATAACTGTTATAGTAACAAAAAGGAAACTACGGTAGCTATTCTCAAAAAGTAATTGAAATGCTCATTAAAAACCAGTTGGATCAATCTCTAAATATTTTAGAATGATAATAAATTATTATAAGCAAAGATGGATAGTAGCTAGCAGTGGAATCCAGGACGCGCGTTTCGTCCTATTTGGGACTCGTCAGCTGGATGTACCTGCATCTCAGAGTTCATGTTGACTCTGGGACTCGAACTCAGTACTGTTCGCTTCAAACGCCATCGCGTTATCCACTTAGCTTGGATTCCACTGCTAGCCACTATCCATCATTGCTTATAATGCTTGTAAATTAAGGCAGTATCGAGGCATACGCACAGTATTCACATATGCCAATAAGAGACTGATCAATTTCAGTCCTAAAACATCAATGGGAAGATTCAAATAAAAACAATATCAAGTGATAATAAATTAGTATTAAATAATTGATTGGTGGTTTTTAAATCGCATCATCAATTCAGCCTACTTGATTCTCATAATTTAATTTATGAAATAAACAAGCACAGTTCTAACAAAACGATATGACCTTTCACGTTATTTTAAGATAAAAATTAAGCTTAATTGGTTAAATTTAAGATATTAAAAGGAAACAGAATGGAAATGAAAAATGATGTTTAATATAGTAATTAAATAAATGTTCCGTTATCAAACTAAAGAAAGATCGTTAAGGGATTTCATCTGAACACATAATTCAAGTTCTAAATTTTCTGTTTTTATAAAAATTATTCCAATAAATTTGAGAAGGCTTTGGATAGATTCTTTATTAGACATACAAAAGGATTTCAATATCTTGTACTTTATATTTAGAAAAAGTGGTACGTCATATATCTAAACAAAAACTTGGTCAAATTCTCTTTTCTGATATAACAATTTAACTACTTAAACAGATACATAGTTCATAGTAATATGGAAAAGATTAATCAATAACTTTTGATCGTTTTATTGAACATCAAGTTCTTCAAGTAATTTAGTTGTTGGATAGCAATTTGCTGTTTTGCCTTGGGTTGTTTTAACAATAACATTAATTCTACAGTTCATAAGAATCAACATAGATTTTATTTCAGTGTATTATTTAGTTTCTCTTACTAAAGTTTGTCAGTATTCACTCAAAATGCTGGGACTATGGAAATGAACTCACTTATCAAAGCATATATATATATATATGAGTTTTGAGACTGAAATCACTTATTCATATTCTTTTAAGTTAAAAAAAATTCCACTTCAAGCGAGTGGAAACTTTTGATATCATTAGTGAAATGGATATAAGGTACTTTGTAAATATGTAGTATTGAACTAGTTCGACTTTAACAAAATCATTGAATAAGACAAAGCATTCCAAGACAATAATCATTTATATCGTAGAAATTACCTTTTGTATATTTTCATTGTTCACGTGTGAAACTGAAAACCCTGGGTTCGAATCCCGCGAGTGGGATCGTGGATGCGCACTGCTGAGAAGTCTCATAATAAGGCGAAACGGCCGTCCAGTGCTTACAGGTTTCTAACGGTGATCTAACACCAATCGATTCATGATCTCAATCGAAAAGAGGTATTAATCTTTACAACCCCTATACTGATATTTAAAATTCATTGGTTAATTATTCTGGATTTGTTTTCATTGTATATTTAAGTATTTCAATGTTATCCAATGAGTTGTACATTTTTTTAATGGACATAGTAGTTGATTATAAATAAATAATACTAGACAATAATGAAGTATACTGTGAAATATATTATTATTAGCTTTATTCAATATTATATTTTTGGTACAATTCTTAGCACAAATTATTTCGAAATGTTTCCGTTTCTTACTTCTTAATCGATATTGACTATAAATATTGAGTGATTGCCAGTTAGAAGTTAGCAATCCAGTCAATCGATATCGAAATAATGTACATTCTTTTTTCTGCATATTACTAACAACCACGATATCTTTGATTGAGCTTTTTGTAACTTGTACAATGAAAGATTGTAAACTTTTCAGAAACGCACTTGAATTGGTTATAAGATTAATAGCCATTATAATGTATTAAAATAAACAAAATTAGATAACTTATTGAAATATCTAGATGGTAGGAACAGGTATGCTAGATGTTCAAGCAAGCCATCAAGTTAGATATATCATAATAATGAACTCATCCATAAAACAGACTTCAATGTTCTAAAATTTCGTATGACTTAATCAATAATATAAGTTTATCATTACTGATTAACATTAGAAAGTGAATTACCATAATGAGCTATACTCTGCATTTGTTAAACTAGCGGCATGATGAATCATTTAATACAATTGGAAACTACTTTAATCAAAGATAGACATCAATTCTAAAATTATTGATAATCCATGCACATTTACTTAAGTCATTACTCAATAAAATAGTGATTGTTTCCTCCATATTCTTGAAAAATGGATTATAAAACTTGTGGTTAGAGGTCATTCCAATTGAAGTATAACATCATTTTGCGAACTTATACAATATTTAAATGCTGATTTCTATATAAGTTATCTAAACGCATAGTTTTTAGCTGAAACATTTAAAGATTATATAATTTGACTAAGTTAAATATGAACTTAAGTATGGAGTCGTAAAGAAAGATCTAGAGATTATTCTATACTCCCTTGTTTTCAATAGGTTTTCTAGATGATAAATCTATCGTTCATATGTCCGTTTTGTTTATCTGTTTAACAATGAAATAACTATAACATGATTATTTTAAATCTTGATATAATGTTTACAGTTGCTAATGAATCAACATTTAATTATCATCAAAATAATCTTCTATGCACCATAGTTGAATGCTTTGTATTTATTGATTTACTACAATTTGAATAGTTTTATTTGACTAGTCAATCAAAAGTATTATAAACCTCAATTTTATTTTCTAGATATTGACTTTCTAAATAACTCATCTCTATGAAATAATGTGTGATCTGTAGATGTTGTTGTGCTGTGGGTTACCTATATCCACATCAGTAATATATAACGGTGGTCAGGCATAGAAAGTGTTTCAGTAGAAGGTCAATGAGGAAAGAACAGGAACGGAACACGATTGGTATGAAAATGCATAAACAATGAAATCTGAGAAGATGGATTGATGTTTGCAATAGAAACAGTCAAGTTTGAGACAATGGATCGATATTTTGCAAATTAACGAGTTACTATATAGTTCTCAGATTTTAGTGAGATGCTGTGTAATTTCGTGTCAAATACATTCGATTGTCCCTACTTGTGTTCTTGTTCACTACATTGTCATTATAAAATCATTCACACAATCTTTCACTAAATACAACCAAGTCTTCTAGTATTTTATCTTTGAGGTTTCAACATGCCTATCTATTAAAATAACAGAAAAAATCCATTAATTTCAATACATTCTTTATTACAATCTTACATTTTAGTAAAAAAACAATAATCATGCTCATTTTCAGATTCATGCTGTTGATCAATCATGTCACATTCTATACAGTTGATTTGTATACAGGAACTAGCTAATGAAAATATCCTTATTGAATTTAATAGTAATATATAATTTTCACTGATTGAAATCATAAATCAATTGAAGCTAGACCACCATGGAAAACCTGCAAGCACTGGACGGCCATTTCGTCCTAGTATTGAACTCCTAGGCAGTGCGCCTCGACGATCCCGCACCCTGCGAGATTCAAACCCAAGGCCTATCAATCTCACGCCAGGCGCTTAACTCATGATTTTAGTCAGTGAAATTTCTAAAATCTCCACAAAACCCCTTCTGGTTATATATAAATATAACCACAATAATTATGAATAAAATATAAACAAGCTTATTGATCAATGTTATGATAACATAGTTCAACATACCTTACGAATAGCTTTTTATGTTTGCAAAGGTGTTATTTTGAGTTGTTATAAGTAAACTAATGATATAACTAAAATAATTTAATATTTGAAATTATTAATCATTCTACTATCTAATAAACAGTCAGTGTATGTGAACTAGAAAAAAACCCTTTCATTCATGCATATTATATTGATATTATTTTAGTACAAATTTTTCCATTTAATACCTCATTATATTTATTCCTATTTATTGATGAAGTAATAACAGATTTCAAATGTAATTAACTATCCTATAAACAAACAAACAAGAGTATACTCATCATTAGATGATAATAATAATGAAGATTTGTGTAAATCCTAATCT